TCAGCGGGACGACAGCTGATTACTGGACGATGACGGCAGATTCTCACAAAGACTATTGCACGGGGGAAGTTGCACTGCCTGGATACTCGACACAATAAATGTATCTGAAAAGACTAATTGCTTCTCGAAATAGACTCTACTGAGCCTGGAAAGGTCTAAGTTCTCTGGAAAGACTTTTTTAGAACCTGGAAATGTTATATATTTCTGTCGGAAGACTGTGTCGATCTTAAAAAGGTTAAACGTATTTGGAAATGGACTGTACGTAGATCGTGGAAACGTTAAATATATAATGAGACTATCAGATGTTTACTGATGTTGAGAACATTGAGACTTGTCAGATGTTACTGATGTTGAGAACTTTGAGACTATCAGATGTTACTGATGCTGAGAGCACTGAGACTAGCAGATGTTACCGATGTTGAGAGTAACGATGCTGGTTACAACACTTATCATTGTAGTGACTTCTCCAGTTTACTCATCATCTGTTTCCTCTTTCTTCCCATTTTACCCACGCTCCCTGACCCCTAATCATCGTCCTTTCCCTCACCTCCTGTTTACGGCTCCCTTCCTTCCCTTCTGACCCCAGTGGAAATAAGTCACTTTGTCTGGGGATTATCCTAGGTAATTTACACGTATGTCACAATGTATGACAATTGTACTTATGTGTACCTGTACCTAAGTAAACTTACTCCCTCTACTCCTTGCCTTCTGCCTCCCCTCCTCTTCCCTTCTGTTTCTCCTCTCCCTCCTCTCATTCCCTTCCATGGACTGGCCAAACTTGCGGCTAATTGCCAAACTTAAAGCCGCGGTCTGTTGGTTCTGCCTATTTAATAACGCATTGGTGACTGAAACCTCTGGAAGAGGAGCTAGGGGAGGAGAGGGGAAGCAAGGGGAGAGGGGAAGCAAGGGGAGAGGGGAAGCAAGGGGAGAGGGGAAGCAAGGGGAGAGGGGAAGCAAGGGGAGAGGGAAAGCAAGGGGAGAGGGGAAGCAAGGGGAGAGGGGAAGCATGAGTGAGGGGAGACATAGGTGGAGGTGGAGGGGGGAGAAAGTAGAGAGATGGGGGAAAGTAGGGAAGAAGAAGGGAGCAGCATGGAAAGGACTGGGGAAGGGAGGAGGAAGCAAATGAAAGAGAGGGGAAAGTAGCAAAGAAAGAACGTGGAGGAGGAAAAATAAAGTCAGATATGAGAGAAAGAAGTAAGTTGGTGGGGATTAATGATTAAGGGACGGGGAGGATGTACGGATTCAGGGACGGGGAGGATATAGAGATTAAGGGACGGGGAGGATAAAAGGGATTTGGTAGAGATGAAAGGGACTAGGAAGTGACTGCCTGGTGATAGGGGGAAGGAAAGAGGGGTGGATAAGGAAGGAGTAGACATGGGTGGATGGATGAATGTGTGGATAAGTTTTGGAATTAGGCAGTGAGTGCAGGGACCAGGGATTGGTGGATTACTGGAAAGAGAATTAGGAAAGACTTGATTGAGCCTTGAAACAGCTACCGACATCTCACGAGAAGATTAGTACTGGCACAGGGAAGCGTTAAATCATTAGGAACCAGGGAGCGGATAAATAATGAGACATAAACAGGCTTGATCCAAGGATGGAGAGAAAAGGATAGGTACAAGACAAAGTACCAAAATATAAAAAAGTGATAGTGGTGATCTTGTTTTCGGCCGTGAGAGAGAGAGAGATTTACATTTCACTGAGAAGGGGGAGGGAGCGCTAAAGTAGTAAGGGTCAAACAGAACTTGTAGAATAGGACTGAGGTTTTATCCCAGGCAGATACAGTACGTAGTTGTAGTCATAGAATATATATTCATTGCGAGCAGCTGTTTTGTGTGACTGACGAGGTACCGCGAGTCACTCGAAATACCCGGAACTCAAAATGTGGAGATGGCTTCTGCTAGCGCTCCAGAAAGATAGACTAACACACACACACACACACACACACTCACACACACACACACACACACACACACACATACACACACACACACACACACACACACACACACACACACACACACACACACACACACACACACACATACACACACATCGTGTACGTTAAGCCTATATTGGAGTATGCAGCACCGGTTTGGAACTCACACCTAGCCTAGCACCTAAGGAAATTCGAGAAAGTGCAAAAGTTTGCAACAAGATTGGACCCGGAGCTAACGGGAATGTCCTACGAGGAGAGGTTAAGGGAAACCGGCCTGACGACACTGGAGGACAGGAGAGATAGGGGGGATATGATAACGATATATAAAATACTGAGAGGAATTGACAAGGTGGACAGAGACAGGATGTTCCAGAGATTGGACACAGTAACAAAGGGACACAATTGGAAGTTGAAGACTCAGATGAATCACAGGGATGTTAGGAAGTATTTCTTCAGTCACAGAGTTGTCAAGAAGTGAAATAGTCTGGCAAGTAATTTAGTGGAGGAAGGATCCATTCATAGCTTTAAGAAGAGGTATGATAAAGCTCAATGGAGCAGGAAGAGTGACCCAGTAGCGGCCAGTGAAGAGGTGGGGTCAGGAGCTGTGACTCGACCCCTGCAACCACAACTAGGTGAGTATAAACACACACACACATACACGCACACACTTAAAATTATATGTACTTTTATTTTGCAATTCGAGGAGCGAAAAAACCCACGTGCATTTTATTTCTGTTTTTCTGAAATTTTTGTGATTTCGTTTAAAAAACTAATGTTACAAAACTTTTAATCTAGCGCTATTGTTTGATGTTTTGTTGATTCCTTCTCATTTTTAGATATTCATTTTACTAATATAATGAGTGGTATTAATAGTAGTAAAGTAACAGTATTAATAGTAATAGTGTTAATAGTAGTATGAGCATTTTTATTTATTAATAATAGAATTAATAGTATTTGTTATATATTATTATTATTATTATTATTATTATTATTATTATTATTATTATTATTATTATATTTTATTGTTATTTACGTTCTTGACGTGGACCTACTGGGTGGTGCCCAGAGCTGCCACCTGACGTTGACCAGTTGATCAGAATGTAGTGTGCCAAGACCTGCTGACCTGGCACTCTTAGTTTAAGACCTACATCATTTTGAACCTAGGTTGGGCTTGGGTACCCACCTAGTTCCCTTTAGCTCTGATGAGCTGGTTACTGTCATGGGACAGCTGTGTACAGAGCCCTACATGAGTGTTCAATGTGAAGCCCATGATCACTGCTCCTCTGCGCTGTTATCACTGTCCTCGCTAGCAACTATGGTATGGTTATAGCCTCTTGCATCAGCTGATGTTTTGTCAGATACTGCTTCGAGTCATCCTTTGTCAAGATTTGCTCGAGTTAGTCCCCAGTAACTGAGAATTTAGTGAAGACTGTCCCCCTGGTAAACCGCGTTTCTCACATATAACTCCTGCCTCCTCTGTCATGACTCTTTTATGACGCGTGTTGACCTTAGGTTCGGTCGGACGGAGGCGCGTCAGTGGGACTGGTCGAGTGAGACTTACCAGTATGACGAGCAGGGACTGCTCTCTTCCGTGTCTTCCCACACCGCACACACCACCAGCTACACCTTCGGTGACACCAGACTGGTGAGTTGTGTTCCTCTTTGGCTCGCTGGAAGCAAAGATGTGACGCACGGGTGAATGTTTTAGTACAGGGATAAATGGGTGAGTGGATGATTCTGTAAGTGCTACAGCGGATGATGGGTGATGCAAGGCAGGAAAGGAGGGTTAATGTTTCTTCTCTATAAGTGGCTGGGTGGATGATGTGTGCTCTTCTACATCAAGAGCCAGGCGAATGAAAAGAGAGAAAAAATATATATTTTTGGTTTGTGAGCCCTCCTTTGTAGCTGACTGGATATATTTCAGTGTATGAATAAGTTTACGAATGAAAAGTTAACGAATGGGCTTGCGTTGTTCCGTGCTCCCTGGTATTTACTCTTGTATATTCACTGATGTTTGGTTGGTACCTCAGTGACTCAGGCTACCAACACGTACCAGTAACAGTGTTGTTCCTCTCTGACGCAGCCAGCCACCATGACCCTGCCCTCTGGTCGTTCCTGGAGGCTCCACTACGATGAGCGGGGCGGCCTCAAGTACGTCACTACACCCACGGGATCCGCCCACTTTTTCTCTATGCAGCCGTCATTCGGATGGTTTGTGTTCTCGTACACTCCACCTGGGTCGACGCATTCGTATAAGCAGTACCTGGACCATGCCGGACGCCTCATGCTCACTGCCTTTCCCGCTGCCTCCGCCAAGGTCCTCTATACCTACACTGAATCAGGACAGCTCAAGGAGATCGTGTCTGGCGACGGTAAGACAGAGTTTTCTTACGGCAGCGACGGCCTCCTGTCAGAGATTATGCACGAGGAGTTGGACCTGGAGTACAAAATGGACCTATTGTACAACGGGCGGCTTCTGCAGGAGCACCGTATCGACTACGGCGCCAGAACTGGCCTCAGCAACGTTAAGTTTACCTATGAACATGATTCTAACTTCCGCGTGACGAGCTTTGCGGGGCGCATCGGCGGCCAGAACTTGCATCCTTTTCCCTTCGCCTACAACCCGTCCACTGGAGGCCCCTCGCAGATCGCCCACTTCACGGTAACCAGGGCGAAGTTAAACGAAACGACCATCCACGATGGCACGGCTATCTTTTCCCGGCAGCTCAACTCTCACCTGCATGTAGCCCAGTCGGCCGTCACCATTCACAACATGGAGGTGTTCAAGCTGCAGATTTTCTACAACCCCGACGGAAAAATAACTCAGACCAAGACGTTCACGCGCAACTACCACAGCAAGCCCTACACCAACACCCGCAACTACACCTATGACGCGGACGGGCAGCTGATCAGTGTGGAGGCCAAGGAGCCGTGGAGCTTCTCCTACGATGCCAACGGCAACATGCTTTCCCTCACTTACTCCACCAACACCATCCCCATGAAGTACGATTCTCAGGATCGTATCGTCAAATTCGGTGAGGGAGTGTACCGCTACGACTCGCGGGGCGCGATCGTACAGAACGCACGCGAGGTCACCTATCACTACAATGCTCGCGGTCTCCTGGTACGGGCAGCTAAGTCCGGCCGCTTCAACATCCGCTATCTCTACGACCACGAGGACCGCCTGGTGGCCAGAAAAGATAACTTTGGAAACGTGACGCAGTTCCTGTATACAGACCAGCGTCACCCGGACCAGGTGACGCACATCTACAGCCCTCGTGACGGGAACCTCATCACTCTGCTCTACGATGACCGAGGACATATCATCTTCGCACAGGTGAGATAAGTGTTCAAAAAAATATATTCCACATAATGTTAAGGGGAAAGAATTTCCGTGAGCTGTGCTGAGTGACTACTGGCCTTGCATAGACCATAAACGAAAAATCAATGATCACTCCTAAAATTTTAAGCATTTGGATGATTTATAACGCCATTGGGGCACGTTTTTCACGTTTCGTTTATTCTGCATGTAGTACTTGACAGACCCCGACCTGATTCTGCAAATCTATGTAGTGTTTGGTCAAGATCAGTAAAATAACAGATCACGAAAAAATTAAAAAGGCACAATACCGTGACTGGAACAAATACACAAATAATCCCCACATAGGAGAATGAAGCTTAATGGTTCAAATCGGACCGAAATGTCGTCATACGTTTCATTCTCCTATGTGCAGGTTATTTGTGTATATAAACAGCTCATGATTCCTGCCATCCCTTGATGCAGGTGTACCGTAACAAATACTACATCGCGACGGACGAGTGCGGCACACCGGTGATGGTGTTCAACAAGTACGGTGAGGTGGTGCGCGAGATGATGCGCTCCCCCTACGGTCACATCATGTACGACTCCAACCCATACCTTTACCTCCCTGTGGACTACTGCGGCGGCCTCCTCGAGACCCGCACTGAACTCGTCCACATGCCCCGGGGGCGCATCTACGACCCACTCATAGGTACGACCTGAGGTTGCTGCCTCTCCTCCTACTCCTTCAATCTCTAATCATAATGCATCTAATATTTTAAACAAATACCAGCATGTGTTCTTGCAATTTTCTCCAGTATGGCTAATTCATTACAAAATAGTGATAAATGCAGTGTATTGAGTTTCTTTCCCTATATCCCTATATCTCCCATTTCCCATTTATTTCTCCCTCCCATGCCCTTCTTTGTATCCCTCTTTTCATTTCTTTCTCTCCCTTTCTTCCTCCTTCACTTTTCTAGTTATTTTCTTCCCATTTTTGCTATGTTACCGTTATTTACGCCGATTATATCCAATTCCTTTCCTACTTTTCCTTCCTCTCCCTCTCCTCCCTGCTTATTCAGCACTCATTCCTACCTCTCCACCCTTTCCCCTTCCTCCCCTCTTCCCAAACCACTTAATTAGAACATGGTAATTTAGGTACAAATTTTGCAAGTGACCACTCAATTAAACTGGCTGTTCGAATGAGGATATTAAAGTCCCCGTTCAAAATCATCCGCAGATGATTCAGTCTCGGGTCCTACACACTTGGGTCTGAAACTAACGTTTCGCGTCTCAGTAATTTAGTTTCATTCTCGTGGGTTTCCTTCTTTCAAACCTTTGTGTTTACCCTTCACGCTTCTGCCCTCTAATATTCCCGTGAATGATGAACCAAGTGTTTTTTTTTGTGTGTGTGCGCAGGCCAGTGGCTGTCACCAGCGTGGGAGGACGTCCTCAACAACATTCTCACCCCGGGCAAGCTCTCCCTCTACCGTTTCAATGGCAACGATCCTATCAACGTTCATCTCACTCACTGGAAGAACTACGGTAAGTAACTTCACCCACTAGGAAAGCTCGGTCTTTGACTTTTTCGTCCACTGGAGCAACTATTGCTAGTTGCTTCAAACATTAACACAACAAATTGTTCCGCGCGTTCTTTCACGCAGTGACTATTGTTTTTTTCACTCACTAGGTAGAAATTACATAAGTTTCATCCTGCCACTAGAGAGGAAATTTGGTATGTTCCTTCACCCACTGGGTAGGCGCTACAGTATGTCACTTCACTCACTGAGAAGGTGATACAGTATGTGCCTTCACTCACCTACTTGGAGGGCTACCTGGACTACCTGGAGGAATGAAAATAACTATGGAATGGAAAAGAATTATGGTATGAAAAAGATCTATGGTATGTTCCTTCACCGAATGTAAGACCCATAGAAGGTTCCTTCAGATCTGTGCATTCATCTATTGAAACAACATAAACAGCAGCACAGTTTCTCTAGAGTCTAGAATCAGAGTGACTGCTGTCAGGTATGTTTTATGAAAGTTGTACAATAATCTAAATACGCCATCACTTCTCTTCAATACATAGTTTGTTACTGATACTTCACCAGGTACAAGAACATTCGCCAATAATGCTACGATGCAAACGATGCTACTTAACGAGGTGTTTGTTACCTTGAAGTATGCTGTCTTTAAGAGGGAATTGGACAGACACCTAAAGTCAGTACCTGACCAGCCGGACTGTTGTTCGTACGTCGCTTTGCGTTCGGCCGGCAGTGACATCCTGGTTGATCAGGCCCTGATCCACCACGAGGCCTGGTCATGGACCGGGCCGCGGGGGCGTTGATCCCCCGGAACACTCTCCAGGTATACTCCGGGTATAGTACTTGATCCTGGTGAAGGGCTTTTGCTACACACAAACTGGAACCTTCCTTCCATTCCTGGGGTGAAACCCTTGATTACCTCCTATTCCCCAGGCTCTATGTGATCCTTACGGGGTTGAGTTGTTCTCACGAAGAATAAATTTTACGGTGATATGGACTCCGTTTTCTGTGTTGCAGACTACAAGGCGTGGCTGGCGCGGCTGGGATACAACCTGGAAAGTCTTGCCCCTCAGCTGGCGTGGGCGTCCAGCACCCCACGCCCTCCCCCGTCCCTGTGGCAAGCCTTCACTCGCGCCCCTATTTTACCAATGCGCGCAGCCTCCTCCCCATTCGCTCAACAGGTACGATATTCACTCGTTGTTCTTTGGTCGGTTAATAGGGTTTGAAATCTGTCGACTACTCAAGGTTGCATGTGACCTGTTTACCACTAGTCAAGAGCGGTAAACAGGTTAATCTCTGAAATAGGGAATAAAGTAAATTCTCAGCTTGTATATACACCGAAAGACATACATTTCTCGATCTATATTTCCAATTAACTGCATATGTTTTAATCTTTTCTTGATTAAAAACGAAAAACTTTCAGTTTCGAAGTTTTGTGTTACCTTTCAAGTAAATGAATGTTAACATACTGCACGAGTTCTTTTCATTATTTATGTAAAGTTCAAGGGCTGGTGACGGCTCAATCCTCTGTCCTCTGCGTTTCAAGAGTTACATTTGTGACGTAAGATATTAGCGAGGTGCTAATCGAGGTGACGCAGTTTGAGTGGTTTTCTGGTCTTAAAAATAATTACGAATTAGATATGGAGCCATAACAGGCATGGTAACACTGGATGTATTTATGCTGGTATATTTTTGCAAGTCAACTAGACATAGTATTCTTCAAGTTATACATGACAACGTCAACTAATTTTTAGCTGGGCGAATATATCACTGATACCGAGATTCCAGTAACATGTTGCTGACCCCCAGCAATAAGCACATTACTGATATTCTGACCCCAGCAACACATCACAGATACTCTGACCCCAGCAACACACCACAGATACTCTGACCCCAGCAACACATCATTGACACTGACCCTCAGCAACACATCACAGATACTCTGACCCCAGCAACACATCATTGACACTGACCCTCAGCAACACATCACAGATACTCTGACCCCAGCAACACATCATTGACACTGACCCTCAGCAACACATCACAGATACTCTGACCCCAGCAACACATCATTGACACTGACCCTCAGCAACACATCACAAATACTCTGACCCCAGCAATAAACCCATCACTCTAACATACCACAGTGCATAGAAACACTTCTAGTTGGACGAATATCAATTAGTCTGGCATGAGGGGTGAGAGAAGCGTTAGCTCGGTAATTTTAGGATCGCCTTGCCACGGTTCGAGTCTCGCCCACTCCTTAAGTTACTGAAACTCTTACCCGAGTAATTCTGCTTCCATAGCTGATCTGAAATTAATGAAAGTGAAAAAGTCTTCGTATTTCTGTACCTGTATGCATAATGAATATTTAAAGTCTTGGAGTTTCTTGGTGTTACTTTGTCAGGGAGAATCAGCTCACTGGCTTATTCGGGAGTGTCTTAGATAGTGAGAGATTTAGTGGTGTAGTTAAGCAGGAGGCTGCTGGATTTTGTACAGATCCTTTTTAGAGATTTTCTCGTTAATTTATTATATATAGTGATGTTAAATTTTACAGACGTGATTAAGCTAACAAATTATTATTATTATTATTATTATTATTATTATTATTATTATTATTATTATTATTATTAGTCCGTTAACTCTATTGTATTCTGCTTCTTCTTGATGCGGCACTGTAGGTGGTGGGTGTGGGGTGTGTAAGTGGTCTGGTGCTGACACTGGAGGAGGCCGCCCATACCACCGCCCGCTTGTCAACCCTAGCGCCCACACGGCTCCGACATGACTTCTGGCCCCACCGTCACAAGGTAGGTTCAACCAACACAAGCCACCGTCCTGTGGCTGCAGCAGTTTGCAACAAACTCACAAATTTGAAATGAAAACTGGACGACGTTTCAGTTGGCTCCAGATCATTATCATGTCTGGTGACTTAATAATGTTCCAGCACGGACCCAAGCGTCACCGTGTTTTCATTTCTAATTTGTGGAGTGTGAATGTGTGTCCTTCGTTGCCTGTCTGGGAGAGAGAGAGAGAGTGAGAGAGAGAGAGAGTATAATGATGATGATGCATAGAACAAGTGCTAGACATCATCCCTGTGTCACCTGTATGCGGTTATTTGATGTAACTGGATACATGAATTGGTTATAAGTGCACCTTAAAGTAGGCGATGTATGGGGTGTCAAACCTTTATATTACTTGGCTGTGTGTGCAGCATATAGTGGGCGATATACTGAGCATAAACTCTTCACGTGGTTTATTATATTTACATGCAACACTAGACCCAAGTGGGTCAGCAAACACAAGTATTTGTAATCTGCTCACAGTGGACCTTCAGGGACGTTCCTTGATGCTTGTGAGGGGCTCTTGATCTAGGGAATTAGATCTGTGCTCGAGATGCTTTCTATCTCATCCCCCCTTCCCTAACAGATGCTGTATAATCCTTAAGGATTTAGCGCTCCCCAATGATGATGATGATAATAATAAAAATAATAATGCTGAGAGTGAGATACCTGTACTTAGCAGTCTGCCCTTGTGTGTGTGCTGCAGGTGGAGATCTCTGCGGTGCCAGGGCCATTTGGCGAGGGTTTGCTGGTGTCCTGTGTAGAGGGCCGTGCCATGATCACTGCCACGGACCAGGCCAACCCCATCTTCAGGGATGTCCTCACCTCAGTCTTCAACAACTCCCTCCTGCTCGACATCACCCTTACCACCCATAACACACACGTCTTCTACTTCGTCAAGGTAAATGCTTTGTCCCGTTATATGTATAAACTTAAGACAGGTAGAAAAACTACATAATTAATTTAAACTGCAAACGTTTTTCTTGAAATTTCACATTACCTTAAAAAGCGAGAGGCTACAAAAGAGCTTGAGATTTTGATTACCATACATTGTGATTTTATATATATATATATATATATATATATATATATATATATATATATATATATATATATATATATATATATATATGTATATATATATATATATATATATATATATATATAATATATATATATATTTATATATATATATATATATATATATATATATATATAATATATATATATATATATATATATATTTATATTATTATATATATATATATCTTCTTTCTTTTCTTTTCAACACACCGGTTTATCCACCGAGGCCGGTGGCCCAAAGGAAAAACGAAGCCATTCGTCCTTACATTTAGTATATGTACAGGGAAGAGGTTTCAGCCCCTTGCTCCCGGCATTTTAGTCCTCTTACAACACGCATGGCTTACGGAGGAAGAATCTGTTCCACTTCCCATGGAGCATAAGAGGAAATAACCAGAATTAAGATGTAGAACCTAATAGAAGTAAAACTCCAGAGGGGTGTATATATGTGCTTGTACATATTTGTAGTGTACTAAGTGTAAGTAGAAGTAGCAAGACGTACTGAAATCTTGCCTGTCATGAGACAGAAAAAAGGTACACCACAATCCAACCATTCATGTACAACAATTACAGCTTTCGTTTACACTCATCTGCAGGACGGTTAAGTCCTCCTGGGCGGTTGCTGTCTACCAACCTACTACCTATAATATACTATATACTATGTAAATATGTTTTTTTTTTGTTTTTTTTTTTTTTTTTTATTCACAACCGATTCTCCACCAAGGCAGGGTGGCCGAAAAATGAAAACTTTCAACCATCATTCACCTCCATCACTGTCTTGCCAGAAGGGTGCTTTACACTACAGTTTTTAAACTGCAACATTAACACACCCTCCTTCAGGTGCAAGGCACTGTTCTTTCCCATCCAGGACTCAAGTCCGGCCTCCGTTTCCTGTAATCCCTTCATAAATGTTACTTGCTCACACTCCAACAGCCACGTCAAGTATTAAAACCATTTGTCTCATTCACTCCTATCAAACACGCTCACGCATGCTGCTGGAAGTCCAAGCCCCTCGCACACAAAACCTCCTTTACCCCCTCCCTCCAACCCTTCCTAGGCCGACCCCTACCCCGCCTTCCTTCCACTACAGACTGATACACTCTTGAAGTCATTCTGTTTCGCTCCATTCCTCTACATGTCCGAACCACCTCAACAACCCTTCCTCAGCCCTCTGGACAACAGTTTTGGTAATCCCGCACCTCCTCCTAACTTCCAAACTACGAATTCTCTGCATTATATTCACACCACACATTGCCCTCAGACATGACATCTCCACTGCCTCCAGCCTTCTCCTCGCTGCAACATTCATCACCCACGCTTCACACCCATATAAGAGCGTTGGTAAAACTATACTCTCATACATTCCCCTCTTTGCCTCCAAGGACAAAGTTCTTTGTCTCCACAGACTCCTAAGTGCACCACTCACTCTTTTTCCCTCATCAATTCTATGATTCACCTCATCTTTCATAGACCCATCCGCTGACACGTCCACTCCCAAATATCTGAATACGTTCACCTCCTCCATACTCTCTCCCTCCAATCTGATATTCAATCTTTCATCACCTAATCTTTTTGTTATCCTCATAACCTTACTCTTTCCTGTATTCACCTTTAATTTTCTTCTTTTGCACACCCTACCAAATTCATCCACCAATCTCTGCAACTTCTCTTCAGAATCTCCCAAGAGCACAGTGTCATCAGCAAAGAGCAGCTGTGACAACTCCCACTTTGTGTGTGATTCTTTATCTTTTAACTCCACGCCTCTTGCCAAGACCCTCGCATTTACTTCTCTTACAACCCCATCTATAAATATATTAAACAACCACGGTGACATCACACATCCTTGTCTAAGGCCTACTTTTACTGGGAAAAAATTTCCCTCTTTCCTACATACTCTAACTTGAGCCTCACTATCCTCGTAAAAACTCTTCACTGCTTTCAGTAACCTACCTCCTACACCATACACTTGCAACATCTGCCACATTGCCCCCCTATCCACCCTGTCATACGCCTTTTCCAAATCCATAAATGCCACAAAGACCTCTTTAGCCTTATCTAAATACTGTTCACTTATATGTTTCACTGTAAACACCTGGTCCACACACCCCCTACCTTTCCTAAAGCCTCCTTGTTCATCTGCTATCCTATTCTCCGTCTTACTCTTAATTCTTTCAATTATAACTCTACCATACACTTTACCAGGTACACTCAACAGACTTATCCCCCTATAATTTTTGCACTCTCTTTTATCCCCTTTGCCTTTATACAAAGGAACTATGCATGCTCTCTGCCAATCCCTAGGTACCTTACCCTCTTCCATACATTTATTAAATAATTGCACCAACCACTCCAAAACTATATCCCCACCTGCTTTTAACATTTCTATCTTTATCCCATCAATCCCGGCTGCCTTACCCCCTTTCATTTTACCTACTGCCTCACGAACTTCCCCCACACTCACAACTGGCTCTTCCTCACTCCTACAAGATGTTATTCCTCCTTGCCCTATACACGAAATCACAGCTTCCCTATCTTCATCAACATTTAACAATTCCTCAAAATATTCCTTCCATCTTCCCAATACCTCTAACTCTCCATTTAATAACTCTCCTCTCCTATTTTTAACTGACAAATCAATTTGTTCTCTAGGCTTTCTTAACTTGTTAATCTCACTCCAAAACTTTTTCTTATTTTCAAACAAATTTGTTGATAACATCTCACCCACTCTCTCATTTGCTCTCTTATATATATATATATATATATATATATATATATATATATATATATATATATATATATATATATATATATATATATATATAAGACAAGCTACAGGGGTGTGGAAATCTTCTCATTGCGTCATCAGGAGCTGTGCAATGTTGCAAGGGCTGCAACAGGAGAAATAGGGTAAGTTTTTCCGAGTATGGTACCGCGATGGCACCAGCCTCTGTCTGCGCAATGATTTCCACCCCCCTCCTCCCCCGTAGCTTGTCTTGCATTGTTAAGATCGCCTGTCTGAGATTGTTTTGCATATATATATATATATATATATATATATATATATATATATATATATATATATATATATATTATATATATATATGTTGTGCCGAATAGGCAGAACTTGCGATCTTGTCTTAAATAGCAACGCTCATCTTGCCATATAGGACAAGTGAAAATTTGTGTATGCAATAATTTCGCAAAGATCATTCTGAACCTAACGAAAAAAAATATATTTCGTTGTGTTTGTTTAGTATTAAATTATTGTAAACAAATCTAAAATATATTTAGTTGGATTAGGCTAAAATAAATTATGCTTGTTATAATAAGCTTAGGTAAGTTTTCTAAGATGCTTTTGGTGCAAAATTATAATTTTTTACATTAACATTAATGAAAAAATATATCTTTAAACGTACAACAGAAAATTTTTAGAAAGGACTTAATTTTAAATGAGTTCTTGCTAATTGACCAGTTTTACATATTCGGCACGACATATATATATATATATATATATATATATATATATATATATATATATATATATTATATATATATAAATACACTCTAGTAATTTCTCGAGGTGTACAAATAACAATAAACTGTGTTGTGAACATGGGATTTCAACATTAGGGTTTCAAATTAACGCGTCAGTCACATCAGCGTCTTAACCGCTACTCAGCAAAACTTTTAGTTCTGAATCTTGTTGTTAAGCAGCCTTCTGAAGGGCTCCAGTCTCCAGCACGAACACAGTTTTACAGAATTTATTTTATATACAGAATATATTGCATTTATATGCTCTGTAAAACTGTGGTAAATTTACATTTGCCAATTGAGAAAGTTAACTTCAAATGCTATCTTCACTAAGGCAACTCTAATCTTTTGCAGAAAATCTTTGTCGAGACTACGTCATGTAGAGTAACAGGACACAAGTGCAACTAATTTGACATTTTATTGTGGCAACGTTTCGCTCTCCAGGAGCTTTGTCAAGCCGTTACAAACAATACATGGACACAGAGGGTATATATAGGCTTAGAGTGATATGCAGTGCTAGTGATAGTAATAGTAGTAGTACATCAGCAAGAGAGACTATGTGATGGCAGGGTTTACTGTTTTCAGGAGGATTCTTGCTAAGACTTCAGAGATGATGAAACTGCCTTTGTTTTTGTTTAATTGTAACAGCGATTAGTGATGATTCAAGGCACTTGCGCCTGCGGAAATTAGTTTGTTTGATCACTTATTAGGCGTCCCTGAATTTCATGAGATGATTGGTGGAATTTCGGTGTTGTACGCAGGCGTTGTTCAAGTTATCGTTCCTACATGCATAAATGTGTTCATTGAGGCGGGTGTCGAGGTTTCTTGCTGTTTCACCTAAATAAATCTTGTCGCAGCCTCCACAGGGTATAGTGTTGACTGCGTTGACTGTGTTGACTGTATAGTGTTACTGCGTTGACTGGTTCATGGTTCTTGGTTTTTGTCCTGGCAAAAATTTACCAGCACAAATAAGCCAATGAGACAGGTAGATGTAACGTCTTTGCAGTTAATATATTTTTTACAGGCAAACCTAAGATTTTGGCATAAAAAAGACTTATAAGATCACGCTTCGCCACTTGGTTTATGGAATACTTACGGACTGAATTGTGTTAAGGAGCCAGGGGTACCTAGTGGGGTCCTGGTGGACAAATTTTGGGTATTGCTGCCTTGACAGACCTGATTGAAGCATGTAGGTGATATGCTAAGCTGTCAATGTGGCAAGAAGGGTAGTAGTTTTGTACCTTGGGTACAATGAATGATAAACGTGATGTAGAATTCCCCACCTCTTTTTTTTTTTTGATGGGCAGATCAACCTGGTTAACGATTGTTGAAAGAAATCAGTGTACGGGAAAGATACTCGAGCGCAGTCATACATTATTTTCTCGTGTCTCCACCACCACCACTACTACTTTATTACTGTTACCACACACACCACCACCACTTACCACCACTACCTACCACCACCACCCACCACCACCACCTACCACCACCACCCACCACCACCACCACCACCACAAACACCACCACCTACCACCACCTTACTTCATCTCCGTCACTCACCCAGGGGAAAAGCACATTCACCCTTGCGAAATCTCGTTAATCACCCCGTCCCCTGAAATCCTCCCCGGGGAAATCCCCGCTCAGATATGGCTGCAATTTTCCAAAATCCTCGGCCTTAATCGCTTGCCCATTTGGAGTAATCGCCTTAATTATTGCGAAATTCCAAGTTCCATACCTGTATAGGGTGGCGATGAGAGGAGGAAGAGTTGAGGGGAAATGAGAAGTTTGGAAGGATAGAGGAACAGTTGAAGGAGGGGGAAGGAGAGGAGGGGAATGAAAGTTGATGGGAGAAAGGAAGAGTTGAGGTAAGGGAGGGAGGAAAAGTTGAGGGAAGGAAGGGAAGGATGAAGAGATGGCTACAGTAACTCCAACAATTCCCAACTAACCAATTAACTGGAAATGAAAATGAGATGACGTTTCCCTCCGTATCCTTGGATAAAGGATTAAAACTCTTGATGGTAGAGTACTGGCTATGTGCTCCCTCAGTGATGTCACATTACAAGTGATCTGCTACTTTGATCATGTTAGATAACGGGTAATCTGCTATATTAATCTGCTACCTTAATGATGTTAGATAACAGGTGATCTGCTACCTTAATGATGTTCGGGTATAAGTGATCTGTTGCCTTAATGACGCTCGTGCAGTCGACAGGCTTTAAACTTAAAACACTCAAACTAATTTCTCGGTGTGTATGGACACAGTTTACCTAAATCGTTTTTGTGGTGGGGGGGATTGAGGGGGAAGGTAAAACCATATTGTTAATCTAGAGCTCGATAGGCCCTAAATTTAACTAAATCCTCTCAAGAGAATCGTTATAAGTTGTTATACTTAATTTTATGTAAATGGTTAACCCGTGTTGGTCATTCAGGACTGGTGAAGGCTCTATCTTACGTTCGCTAATTGCGACACAGACACGTTGCCTAACTGTTAACTAACTCTCACTCCTAACTCTCTCCCCAACAGGAGAACTATTGGAAAGCGTCTGAGGACATGACGCAGTTGAACCGTCTAGGCGGGGAGGTGAACATTACAATCCACGAGCCCTCCTCCTCCCAGCCTCTCACCCCCACAGAAGAAGGATCAGACAAGTTTGTTGATGTGAAGCTCCACAGCGCCTCAGCTGTCATCCACATCCGCTATGGCACCACCATCTTGCAGGAGAAGAAACGGCTCCTCAGACACGCCAAGAAGGTGAGGAGGGAAGAAGTGGTAGGGGAAAGAGTGGTGGGTATGGAAAGGAAGGTAAGTGGGGTAAAAAAAAAAAATTATCTGCGATTTATAATAAAATATATATTTATAGTACATTGGTATTATGTTAAACTACAGAATTTGTAATCAGTAAACCGCTAAGCTCTTCTCTCTCTCTCTCTCTCTCTCCCTCTCTCCTCTCTCTCTCTCTCCTTATTTTTAGTTCCAGCTTGCTGTTTTACCTTCCATTCATGCCTCTCGTTTCATCTCTCTCGTCTCTCTCTCCTTCTCATCTCGTCTCTGCTTGGTCCAGTATACGCGACCGCTCTGTCTTCTGCCTTCCGTGATAGAGTAACCCAAGCTGCAATGTATACCTTCCTCAGCCTCGGCGTTTCACTGCCCGTTCTCCATCCCCAGGTGGCCTACCGCGTGCTTGACGTCCGACCAACGTCGCTTCTTCATGGATCCAATGCCAGACGAAACTCAAAGACGCGAGCGAGATCAGAAGATGCCCAGGTGGGGGACTCGCAGGTTCAACCCCTTCTCTCCACCTTCGACCCTTCGCGCTTCCTTGGACGATCCATCACGTTTCGTTCTTTAGGATAAGACACGCTAAGTGCGAGAAAAAATAATGGGGGGATCTTGTTACTTGTATTGTCCCTTGGGGTGCTTCACGTCGAGCTGCTGTAAAAAAAGAGTGTGCTAGCTGAACTGATGCTCCACGCGACAGCTGTGCAAGGAAAGAACAGTTGTGCCTCTGCTTGTAGCATCTGCAACGGAGGATTGCAAGACAGAAACAAGGGAGTGGTGAATGTGCTTGTAACTCTGATCATTTCGTCCGGTTTAATGATTATGTTCTACTCTGCCCAGACAGAGAGAGAGTAACAAGAGCCTCTGGCAGAATGATCCTCCCTAGCGCCGTGACTGTGGAGGAAAAGAGAGATCGTGACCAGACTGAAGACTGCAGCTGTCTCCTCCCGGGAGCTATGGAGGCGGCTCCCACCTTTGTCTTAGACCTTCGAAAACACAAGAGACATTGTTCTTTTTCTTTTCTCTGAATTTAATAGACATTCATCAGCAAATTTTTAAAATTTGAATGAAAGATGTTGAGGCATGTCCCGGTGTGCGTGCGCGGGTGTTTGTGTGTATGCTTGCGCGTGTGCTTGCAAGAGAGAGAGAGGACCATTTGAAAACAGTAACTTATGCACTTCGACGTCCGTTTAATATGAACAAAAAAAAAACACTTCATGTAAGGTGAAATAAAAAGACATGTATATGAGAGAATGAAGAACTCTTGATGAAATCAAACCGTTGTGAATTCAACTGTTTTTTCAATCAGAACTCGACATGTTGATGAAATGACAGTGTACTGAAAAGGTGAAATGAACAAGTATCTAGTGGCAGTGCACTGGCAAGCTGAAGTGAACAAGTATCAAGTGGCAGTGTACTGGCAAGCTGAAGTGAACAAGTTGTTGGAGTAGCGGCGTATTGAGAAGCTGAATTGAACAAGTGTACTGGTAAACTGAATTCCTCGAGCAGGGCTTGTGCTTTATAATAGTTAAGCCTCACTTTTGTCCAGAGGATCACTTCACGTTAGAAACATTGAGACTGCATGTGATAACTGTACTCTGCAGAATGCACACATTTTTACTGTCATTTACAGACTCAACAATGAAGCTGAGTCTCATTTACATACGATGCATGAATATATTAAGTGTCCATTCGCTGTAAAAGTGAAGGGGGAAACATATTTTGATATTTGTATTTTATTAAACACCGAGAGAACTTATTGAAAACAAACAGGAAAAACATAGCTGGTGATACATGAGAGTGCAGTGGCAAGGGCGGAGGTGGCTGTTGAACTAGTTGTTGATGACATATTATGAGAACTTGGTATACAGTGATTAGTGCTGTGGAAAACGTATTCGGCAGGAGCGTCAGTGACAGCGGCCCTGCCGTCAGCTCTCTCGATAACCATTCAGGTCCTTCAATTGTCAGCTGCTCGGATGTGAGGTGAGATATGACAGGCCACACACTGACAATGCTGGACACTCTGGCATCCCTTGCTGACTCAGCCACTGGTTACCCTTGCTGACTCAGCCACTGGCCAGGCAAGGGCATCGGTGGCAACTCCACACTTCCTGTTACAGACCTTGTGAATGAATTAACCAGAGTTGTGTTGTGACCGGTGTAGGGAACGTCGCTAGTCTCACTCCTTCACTTAGAAACCATCGATATCAAAGAGCTTTTTCACAGTAGAACTACATATTGAGATTATGTATATATATATATATATATATATATATATATATATATATATATATATATATATATATATATATATATATATATATATATATATATAATATATATAATTCACATACAATATATATGTAGGTATATATACAAAGTAGAATAATCTTGCAGAGAATTAGCCACCTTCTAGGCAAGGTAGTACCATCTCACATCACCGGCGCTTATCTTAGGCATACAAAAGTAAAATTCTGACTTTCAAGACAGTTATTTACAAGCGTTTTTGTTTTGTGTTTATTTATCAACTAGAAGAATTATATCTCGACGAGGTTAATTAACGTTCAAGGTTGCAGAGGACGAGGCTGTGACGTGTGGTCGTCGTCTGTGTCACGAAGATTTACCGCTGCAGATACCGTGGCTGTAAGAGTCTGAAACTAGTCTGTGCTATGGACATTCAAGCTAGACGGTATTTCAGTTTGTCCTGGCGTTAATAACGCTCCGATACCGAAAAAAGTGCCGTCTTGTTTTGATTTTCAGTTCGTGGGCTAGTGTCTCGTGTCCTACCTGAGTGGAGGGAAGGGTGCCACACCCCAGGGAGGGTGCCACGTCCCACCACCCCAGGGAGGGTGCCACACCCCAGGGAGGGTGCCACGTCCCACAAACCCAGAGGGGTGCCACGTCCCACCACCCCGGGGAGGGTGCCACGTCCCACCACCCCAGGTAGTGTGCCACGTCCCACCACCCCAGGTAGGGTGCCACGTCCCACCACCCCAGGTAGTGTGCCACGTCCCACCACCCCAGGGGGGTGCCACCCCCTCACAATCGTCGCAAGCCACAAAGAGTCAACCTCTCAACTTTTTCATCCATTACACAATGAATAAATCTTGTGTTTATTTCCAAACTTTTCTTAATATAAACTACGTTTGTATAATGATTTAAACCAAAGAATTATATAATATTTTTAACAACTAGTATTAGCTGAAAATTGCCACATACAGATAATTGCATATTATACATATTTTTACAATAACTATGGCTTGTTTTATGTGTATAATGTACTAGTGTGTTTATGTATATATATTTTATGTGAATTATTATTGATGGACAAGTGCTAAACCCGTAGGGAAATGAAAAATAATCAGGTTTGATCTAAGGAAGAGGAGAATAGCTCCAGTTTGTTGGTAAAAAAAAATCATCAGCATCCAGACATGTTTCTCCTTGAAGGAGATACATACTAAGTTTCACTCTTATCTAAAACTCACAATTTTCGTAATTTATTCTAAAAAATTATTCTTTTCAGGTCCTTTTCACTTGATATTGATATAATTGATGTTCTTTTGTTTATCGTTTTTATTTCCAACGAGTCATTGATGCCTTGTAAGAAATCCTATTAATTATATGCAGCTAGAAAATAAAAATGCACTATAGGATTTTAAATATTGTAAAAATTTTTTTTTTATGTAAATTTTGAGTATAATTTGGCAGCTGTTGATCATTAATGTGAGCTTGTATCAGTTGAGATATATATTCATACACTGACTTTAGAACTATGTATATATTTTGAGAGAACTCTGAGGTTTTGAGAATGCATTATATACCTGGAGAGAGAACTGTTTACTCATGTTAGTTCACCGTACTTTCGAAATATTTTTTTTATGTAATTTGAGTAACATGAGAGAGAGCTCTTTCAACTTTGTGAGATAGTTCTGCTCATAGTTTTTTTTTTTCTAATTTATTAAAATTTCGTTTTTTTTTTTTTTAGCTCTGTAAATGTGTGTGGTGGATATAGATACTCAAAAGAGCTTTTGTTGCTATTGAGAGTTCAGTAGGTTAAGGATTTTTTTCAACTTTGATAGAGCTCTCGGTCCGCCATGCGTTTACTTGATTTGCTTCGAGAGAGCTGTTGTTTATGTGAGGACTCTATGTACTCTGAGAGACCTAATACTTTATGTGAGGACTCGATGTACTCTGAGAGACCTAATACTTTATGTGAGGACTTTCTATACTTTCCTGCTGACGTCAGGACACTGACCGACGTCGGGTGCGAATCACGAGAGAAGGCACAAGGTGCTATTAATTTAAAGTATTTTTATATCCTCCCGAACTTCGCTGTGTATATAACATTATATAGATTCTCTCTCTCTCTCTCTCTCTCTCTCTCTCTCTCTCTCTCTCTCTCTCTCTCTCTCTCTCTCTCTCTCTCTCTCTCTCTCTCTCTCTCATTCAGTGCGTCCTTCCCGGCGCTCCTATTATTTACATAAGCCTCTGAAAAGTTTGAAGGAATTCTCCCCCTTATTATTTATTTGCAGAGTTAGTGATGAGAAATATTTACATAAAATAATCTTTAACTAGCATCAGGTTATATTTAGAATTAAGATTTTATTCTTAAAACAAATGTAACGAAAAAGTAGTCAATGGTTCGAATGGGAGAAAAAAAATGTACACTACATTTTGTCTCAGTGCCTCTTGGTTCATACGAAATGTATATGTCAATGTTTATGTCAATGTTTGCACAGGAATATTGAGTTTAGTTTAAAGGCAGACAATTTTGTATTCCTTGGAGATTCTTAAAACTACTGGTGGAAAATTCTTGGAATCTAAGCCACGTTCCAAGGCCTGATTTTCGGTATTTGGGAACTGAGGATGCCTTTCCAGCATTTAATCATCTATGCCTAAGGCCTGAAGGCCAATGTTTCAGGACCTAACCTTCAGTACCTAAAGATTCCAGGTTTTGTTCTAGGGCTTAGCTATCAATATCCAAGGATCCCAGGCCGTGTTCCAGGACTTAACCCGCGATATCCAAGGATCCTAGGCCATGTTCCAGGGCTTGAACCTTGACCCATGATCCCAAGACATGTTCAGGGGGCTTAACCCTCAGCAACTAAGGATCCCAAGCCATGTTCCAGGGCTTACCTATACTCCACCGCCGACTTGCCTTGTCTTATTCTTCAGCATGTCCTTGAAATGCCTTTTATGACTACATAGTCTCTCTTTGTATTGCTTAACTTTGCCGCCAAAGGCATGTTATATACTGTCTTGCTCCCTCCTACCTCGCTCAACACCCCTGGTAAGTTTCACCTGATTGGCCGAGAGCCATCGGAGGTAGCTCGTGATTGGCTGGTGTCAACCAGTAACAAGCCATGTTGTGGAAGTCGTCAGCCAATTCCGGGGTTTCCTGTGGTAAACAATGTGGTGAGGTGGGACTCGGCATGGACGTCTGTACAATATTTCCTCCAAGACTTTATTTTCACGATATTTAAACT